CTTCGCAAAATCACGAAATAAACATGTCGCGAAAATTTCATGTAATATAAAGGTACATTTATTATGCGTGCGGAATAGTTTTTCTCACAAACAGTTAATATGAATAGAGTCGAAACATGTATGCATAATAAAATGTATGGCCGTTATACGGAAATCTTAACTTGTTTTTGTGCATCTGGCAGTTTTAGTTGCCAAAACTTTGTTCACGTTATTACAATCCCGCCGACTTAGCAGGCAAATGAAGAGTTGGGTTCCTGTGGTTTAAGCGGGAATGGGTTTGAGAATGCCGAGAAAGGGACTGGTAAGTACAGCGTTTTTTAAAAACTGGCGGTCGAACAAAGGAGACTTGTCTGATTGGCTGTTTGATTTTGAAGTGTTCAGTCTCCTCACCGCGCGCCCAGTGAGTAAACAAATATGGCTTCCAAAGCTAAAGTCCTGGCATGGCATGTACAGGTTAACAAAGTGTGATGTCTTTCTCTTAGCCTATAGTACTTATAGGGGTGTTGACAAGATTTTTAACACGCGTGTATTGCTGAGCCGCCTTGCCAAAAAGACTCATCTAAAGCAAAGTATATCGGCTGGGATGGGAAATTTTTAATTTAAGAAATACTACAATAAAGAGTCTTTTTTGGAGGAGGAAACGTATTTTTCCACTTCACTGAAACGTCCTGCCGACCCGGAGAAAGGTAAGCTTATTGTTTATGTGGCATGTTTTATCACTCAAACTGTGTACGATGTCTTGATCTTCAATTATTTAGAGTGTTGTTGAGTTTTATAAGCTTAGGTATAGTTTTTCTGTTTCCTGCCAGGTTGTGAATTTCTGACTGTACGGCCTCTGAATGGCGGAATGATGCATGTAGCCACTCAGAGACTTCCTTATTTATTTATTTATTATTATTTTTTTTTCAAAACATTCCTCACCACGACCCCTTCTATTAAAATAAGTTACCTGTTTTCTACAAAACTAGAGAAGAATTGGAGTCGGTTAACGTCTGGATGCGGTTCACTGTAGACTGCCAAACAGTCCGTATTTTTGCGTATTCAAGTACGCAACGCGCGAGCAGTCAAACAAAAGGTCTGGAACGAGGCTGAAAACAGAGAGCGAGACCTGGGGAGAGACGCTAAAACGGGCGTGTGAGGTTCGCGCAGACTCTTACGGTACGCTTTACCGATTTCTTTACTGATTTTGAGAAGAAAAAAAAAACGACTGTTTTGCAGTCTAGGTTCACCGTAATTAATGCTCAAAGGGGGGCCCACCATATACATGTACTTTACTTAATCACTTTTTTGCTGGTTATTTAATACATGTAAATGTAGTCCAAAGTATAAGCAAACACTACATCTGCATCTAAAACTAAACGGAAAACAATAATATCCTATTTTACAGTTACAGTGGAGGCTAGAGTTGACCTTGTTTTGATACAACCCCTCATTCTTTATTATGTAGATCACGTTGTTCTTATGCAAATCGTTTTTTTTTTTTTTCAACAAAATTTACATTTATTTACCACAACAGACCTTTTCCTTTTTGTTAGCGTCCATTAGGACCTGAGGAACAGCCTTGGGCTACATAAAAATGACTCCACGATTACTCGCCGAAGCATTGTTGTGGTGAGATCGCCATCTTTGTTGATGTTATGTGTCTACAAGTAGAGCTTTATCGACCGAAAAAATACCGTAAAGAACGTGAAACATGCTTTTCTGTCTTCACATTGAGTTTGTTTTTATGTTAAAGTCCTTTACCTGGGTTACCGACGACCTGTTGAAGGATAAACCTTCTTCGAAGTTCGGGTGATTAATTTCTGCCGTTCAAATTTGTTTGTTCTGTGAAAACTACAATCTCGTTCCCAGAGACCACAATCCTTTTATAAAGCGACTGGACAAAAGCATTCTCTCCAGTCCGTTTGAGAGACTTTGACAAAAGTAACGGAGGCTCTAGGGACCAGATTGTGAAAATTACGAAAACCCGAGAAACCTGGGAATAGTTCGAGCATGCGTAGACAAAAGTCACCTTTGTTTGGCGGAAAGCACTGGGTAACATCGACCTAAACCGGATGAGTCATCGATATATCAGCGGCGTCTTACAAAATGACTGAAATGATCCCGTTGACTTCCGCGCACTTGATCGATCACAGCAAAGATGCTATATTTGAGTTAGTTTGCGTTATAAAATGGTCAATATTGTCGTTTCCAGTTTATATCACTAAAAAAATGTCAAATCTGTAATGACTGTAATAGACTCAACTGTATTGCATTGAACGACGAGGCTTATAGTCTTCCCAAAGAACGCTGGTTTCGGTCGATATTATTTAGTGTCAACACGTGACGAAATCCTATCTAACATCGACCGAGACCTAACCGGAACTCGGCTGCGGCTACGAAAAAAATTACTGAAGTAAAATAAATCCCGTGAGAGTGCGAATCCCATCCCAGTTTTATTGCTTTCGTTTGAGTCTCAAACAGTAGTTTTCGAGTTTTTAGAAGTTCACCTAAGAAAGTTTAAGAAGTTCATAATAAAAAAAGTTCTACTTCCACAATCACAAGCGAACATTGGCGCCAAATCTAAAATTTTCCAACTGAGAATACTCTGTGGAGGACAATGGCGGCAGCAGAATCAAGCAATACAGCGTGGTTATCTCTATTTTGAGTTGCATACGATCCATATTCAGGATATATAAGCCTAGGAGCTTATGAAAGCGTATGAAATAGGGTCCTTTCGAAATTCTTGGACGCGCGCTCCTGGGAACTAGGTACTTGCATGTAAACGAGGCTTAGAGGACCGCTGGGAAAATAAAAAAAAACAAATGTATTCACTGTCTTCACTGTAAGTTGAAATGCTCCAAGTTTTGCAAAAGTCATGGTGAATTTTTGTTCGGTGGCAAACTGCTTGAACAGTTCAAGGAATCGTCCGGATCTTTCCTTTTTCTGTTTTCCTTCGGAAGGGCATTTTAGAAGGCTATGGAAAAACTTCTATACACGTAGTGATCCCGAATTCCAAAATCAAAAAAACCCTCGGATTTGCAGCGCACACTTAGAGGCTTCATCCATCAAAAAGTCGCTTTGCGGAAGAAAAGAAGTTATTCCAGGTGAATTACCGAAAAATTTTAATCCCTCGACCCACCAATGTCGTGTTTCTTCCCGTGAAAAGAGACTGGAGGACAGAAAGAGACGTGCTGTTGATGAAAAATGTCCTGAACCTCAAAAGAGAAGCCTTACCGAGGAAGACAAAGACATTTGTTTCTTAAGCGACGATGCAGCCCTTTTAGATCACAATTATTGCCACCTTCTTCCTAACGACAAAGGAACTCAAACGGACTTTCCTTACGAAGATCTAGAGGTTTTAACCAGTAAAATTGACGCTTTAAAACAAGAGAACGCCGAACTTAAATCAAAGTTATCAAACAAAAAACAATTGAAAAGAGAGCTCTTTGTGGATGATGTTTTGAAAGATGACGAGTCTGTCAAATTTTTTACGGGTATACCTAGCCTTGCTTGCTTTATGATGATATTTAATTTGCTCAAGCCGTTTGCAGAAAAACTTAAGTATTGGGACAAAAACAAAGAAAAAAAAGTAAGCTATCAAAAAGATTCAAGTAAAAAAAAGCCTGGAAAGCAAAGATTATTGACCATTATGGAGGAATTTATCTTAACTTTGGTGAGACTCAGACTTGGGCTTTTAAGCAGACATCTTACAGATATCTTTGGAGTATCAGAAGGATCAGTTAGCAAAGTTTTCACAACGTGGATTTGCTTTTTATCTACAGTTTTTCGTGACATTCTTCTTAAATGGCCTTGTAAGGAAGAAATTAAGAAAAAGTTGCCAAGTTCTTTTAACAAATTTCCAAGCACTCGAATAATAATAGATTGCACAGAGATATTTTTGCAAAAGCCAACATCCCCTAGTGCCCAGAGAGCTACATGGAGTAACTATAAACAGCACAATACCATGAAAGCACTGGTGGGAATCACTCCAACAGGTTACTTCTCCTTTGTTTCTAAACTATGGACTGGAAATGTCAGTGACAGATACATCACAGAAAGAAGTGGTCTACTGGACAAACTTGAAGAGGGGGATTCTGTTATGGCCGACAAGGGGTTCAACATCAGAGATCTGCTTACAAGAAAGAAAGTTGCACTTAATATCCCACCACTTTGCAAAGGTACCTTTCCAATAAAGGGAGCTAATGGGGTAGGGGTGGAAGAGGGTATGCTAAGATAAAAGAGAAGGTCTCCCTGGACAAAGTAAAAAAAAAAAAACAAAAAAAAAAACCAGATATAACAGCATCCATTACTTGTTGCTTGTAAAAAGGATCTTTCTAACTAAACAGAAGAAGTTTCTTAGGAATATTTTTTATATTATAGGGTTAAGTTGAACTGCTCAAAGATAAAGGTAGTCTCTACTAACTTCCAAACATGTCTACATAGCAGGGGTGGATCCAGAAAATTCAGAAAGAGCTGGTGTGAGGCAGTGGTTTGCCACTTCCACCCATCCAATAATTTAGTACAGGTTTTGTTTGGAAAAAAGGTTTCCAAAAAAGCAAGTACTTTACTATCAGTACCTTTTGAATTGGCATTTACTTCATTCAAAATCCTTTTTTCTCCTCTTACACAGGAAAGCAACTTTCAAAAAAGGCAGTAAAATCTACCCGTACCATTGCAAGTGTTCGGATCCACGTTGAACGTGCTATTGGACGTCTTAAGGACTTTAGAATTCTACAAGGGAACTTCCTTCTTCAAATGCTACCCACTGCAGACAATATTCTAAGTGTTTGTGCTGCTCTGTGTAATTTGCTACCACCACTGGCCAAATGACTGACGCATTTGTCCAGAGAGCAGAAAAGCAGACCTACTTAGTGTATGTAAATGGTAAATGAAACATGTATTAAACGTATCCAGAGACAGATCAATAAAATTATGTGGTATCTAATCCAGCACAGACAAAAAACACTATTAATTTTAAGCACCTTCACTTTTACAATCAGCATCTAACGGCAGTCACTCTATAATGACTTAAGTATGTCATGGTGGAATAGTTCCTGAACTATATACTCCACGAAGAAGTTTCTCAGCTTTTGGAGCATTTCATTCCACAAATCACTATCAAACTTAACGTTTACAATCAATATTCCTTTGAGGGTATATATAACTAGATCACAGCGATGAATCCCTGTTATCCCCATCAGTCCCTGGATTTGGTAGTTCCATTTGGTTTCTTTTTTAATTTCATACTTGCCATCCACAAGCATGAGGTTCTCCTCAGCTGCAACATGTGGAGGGAGATTTCTTTTTGCATACATGCTTTTAACTTCAATTAACTTCTTTTGGCAGCAAGCACAAATCCTTATACCATCAGGACTGGCTCCTAAGAAGGGCCATAATGTGTTTACAATGAGTCCACTTTTTTCTATTGACAACTTTTCATGATTTTTGTTCTGTTTTTTTATGTAAAGACTAAGTGCTCGCTTTTCTTTTTCATGCCCCCATGTCAACTGTCGTGGCATGGCATCTTCAGCAATTGGACAGTAATTCATGAGATGTTTAATAGTGTTTCTTCTGTCTGTGCTCTCTCTAAGGTGGCACACAGTGTAAAATGAGGAAGCTGTAATTCTTCCTGCCCTTTGATCAAACCAAAATTGAGACTGGGATTGATAGACAGTTTTCTTGTTGATCATTTCTGCTTTCTCTTCATTAAATGGAATAGACTCAAGGAATTCAATTGCAAGTTCTTTAGAAACTGTAGGCATCACTTTTTCAGTATTAACAGAAACAAAAACTTTGGCGTAATCATTCATTGAATATACATGTACACTTTGAACACTTTCTTCTTTACAGACATTAACATCACTGCTGATGAAAGCTCTGACGTCTTCCTCTGTTTGGGTCTGGGTCCTTTAGTTGAAGATAAAAAAGGCAGAGCTGAAGAGCTAGGATATGTTTCCAGCAACCCAGCTTTAAAATCTTGTTCCAGTTCAGTCACATTATAGGGAATACAAATTGGATTAAAATCTCTTGGGTGAATTGGGTCTTTCAATGTCACACCGTAACTACCACTCGTTTGAAGGTCCTGAATGGGCAAACTTCCCTCATTTCTCTTTCCTCTGTTTTTCCACATGCACTGTCCTGATGTACGTGATTGGAGATCATTGAATCTCACATTTGCTTCTGTATCTCACATTGTTCACACTGATAGACTGTAAAGTAGCCAATAAGTTCAGTTACTAGGCTCACAGATTCTGACTTTGAACTACTGTTTTAATACTTAGTGCTGAAGTCATAAATGATCCATAAGGTTTGAGACTTAAAATAATGCATCCATTGATTTAGATCTTCAATTCAGGAGGCATCTACTTTTTACTCATGTTACAACTGCTACAAGGGAAATATAAACCTTCGAATCTGAATAAAACAAAACCTGTCACAGAGAAAAACAACTGAAAAGACCAAGCGTTTTGATTCTCAAACGTATGTTTATGGAATATCAAGCACATAGACAGGCTTCAGAAATCAAAAGAAGAAAATACATAGCCTCCTTTGCATAAGCAGTAGGCTGAATTGACACTTCCATCCTTCTTTAAAATGAAAAACCCCCTGTATGTTGCTGAACCATCTTCAGTCTTGGATTTTTCAGTTGGCTTTACAGCAAACTTAAGAAACTGTAATTACTATTGGGTTGAGGTGCGTGATACCAAAGTTCTTCCACATGTCCATCAAAAAATAATTTGTAACCCAATAGAGATTTGTAACTTTTTAGGCTTTCGCTGTTGTATACGGTATCTTTTCCCACCAGGCAATTAAAAAGATCGGGGAATCTAAAGTCCGGTACGTTAGTAAAGTTTTTGGCCCATTGGCAAAAAATACGGTTTTCGTTATCCAACGGATTTGCGAGATCTCCCTCATCGGTTTTCAGTTGCTCTTTCATAGAAATTCTTGGATCGACTGGTGCTTCCTCTTCAGCATTTTTTGGGACTTTCATCTCCTCACTTTTCTCACAAAGTTCTACCAGTTCAACCTTACGTTTTCCTGAGCTTTGAATGCCCCTTTGTTTTAAGTATTCTTT